GCACGTCGGCCACACCGATCCGCTGAGAAACGCCCGCGGGCCGCAGCAAAAGTAATAAGTCCGCTGTCTGACCACGCCGATCCCCGCAGAAGGTCACAATCATGCGACTACAGCAACCCCACCCCCCAGCAACATACAAGAATCTTCATACCAAGCTCTCGCGTTCGCGCCAAAAACATTCTCTGCAGAAGCTGAACCTAAGATTCATAGCTGCTGACGCCGAGCCTCTACGCCGCTACGCTAGCTCTGTACCAAGAATGCGACCTAAGGCGCCCAAGCTTTCACACCCGAGCTCGGTACCCAGACAAAACCCCCACACTACTCATGCCCAGACTATCGTGCCCGGACCTGCACCCAGACTATCCCAGACTTCTCGCCTCTGTGCAAATGGCTCTGTGCAACTGCAGTGCAAGTTGCTCTGTCTCTGTGAGAAACCGTCCAAGGGCTCCGCGCGGAGGAACCGTTCGCGATGCTCTCGGGAAAACAAGACAAATTCATCCAAGCACATTCCGCGCAGCCGCGTTTACTTGGCATTGTAGGGTTCACTGGTTTACAGGTTGTGTGTCTTTCTCTTTGGTGTCTTCAGCCCCGGTTGTTTGGGCCTTGGACTTATCTAAGGTGCTTTTCCAGCCCAAGAGTGGCCGCTGACATGTTGCATCATTTGTCTGATTTTCCAGCCCAAGCACGGTGTCGAACATGTTGGGTCTATTCGGTATTATTTTTGTTTCTGAGTGTTCTCGAGGTTGCTTGTTTCTTCAAGCCAAGAAACGTTGCTGATATGTCCTTCGTGCTCCGTGGTTTTCTCAAAGTTGCTTTGCTCAATCATTTGTGTGTCGCGGTGTTCTTTGTGTGCTTCGCGTGGAAATCCAGAGCGTTGACTCTTTCGGGAATGTGGAAAAAATGCAGCACACGCAGCGCTCCTTTCAGCTTCAATGGCGGTTCTAAGATAGTTTCAACTGCCCCAAACCACTGCCCATTGGGAAAACAAGGCACATACCCTGTGTATAGTTCTGGAGCAGGGCCCAAATCTGCAAGAGGTTTTTGCACCATGCCAGGCGTGGTGTAGAGTTCAGGACATTGTTGAATTCTTTGCCAGAGCCCCGAATCACATTTCTCCAAAAAGCTGCCCGAAAGACAGGCTTGGTCGAGATGTAGCGAGGTTTCAAGCACCGAAAGGTGTTCGTAGAATGGTCAAACACGCGAGCCATCCGAGCGATCGCAAGAATCCGCGGGCTTCCGAGTGCAACTCAAAGCAACTCCCCAGCCAAGGCGCGAAACATCTCGTCCGGCGGCAAGGGCATCACAGAGATCGTGGACACTTGCCGCGTGAAGGCGCTGTGCCGCTGCAAGTGCTCCTGAGGCGTCCGGGAGTGAATTTCGCATGAGGAAAATGCCCTTTCAGCTACCCTCAAAAGGAAAGAAATGTGAAATCCGCAGGTCTGGAGAAAGGCATCATTCCGAAGCTGAACCGCCCATCTCTCCACTCGACAAGAGCATGGGAATCGGGGACCCCGGCTGATGACCGGGCCATCCGGCAAAGGCACGCAGCGTAGCCGCAGAACCTGAACGAGGAGTCCCCAGTTCGCATGTGAAACTCTCCGCAAGCAAACCTCCGAATTACCTAACGCAGCAATTTCTGGGTCGACGAAGGGCAATGATCGGCACCCGACATCAGATCTAGTTCTGGGCCCGGGCAGGAATGCATCGGCAGCAGTGCTCTCAGCATCCCAGAAATTCAGCGCGGCTGCCAGGACAAGAACCGGCCTGGCGTGAGATGGTCGAGAACGAACCTTCAGGGGCCTCCCCGGAAAAGGCGGCCGTTCACTTCTGGAGCCTCTCTGCTAACCTTCACTTACCTGGATCTTGGGCATGGCTCAAATGGGGGGGCTTCCTCAAGTTGAGCCCTTTTTTGGAGTCCGGTTACGTCTGGTATCGGAAAGGGAATGGAATCCTGCTGGGCTCCCAACCGGCTTCTTCCAGCAAATGCGGGTTTCCGGGGTTCCCCGCCACGGACCCGGCAGTGACAAGGCCGGCAGCCCAACAAGGGCTATGAACCTACCAGGCTCGCCGAAGCCCTGGATGCAGGCGTGCGCAGGCGCATGGAGGGCGGCTTGGAGAGGAGCTGTCCGTGCACTTTAGAAGCCAGCAATGCTAGTGCCGAATGTCAGCCAGTCGTGATGGGGGTGGAGAACTGTGACCTGAACGAGAACGTGGTGGTCACGGGACGCTACGGCCAGTTCAGGGAAGTGCTCGTCGAGAACGCCGCAGCATGAGGCGGCGCGGGCGCACTACAGCGGGATCGCGGTCATGGCGCGCTATGGCAGGCGAGCGGAAGCCCGTCGAGCTATGGAACTTCAACGCAGGAAGGTGAGGTGGTCAAGGCCGCCCATCCCACGCTGGACAAGCTCTGCTACATGAGGGTCGAGGTAAGGACGGCGAAGAGCGCCAGGTTCTGAGGCGGCTTCACTTAGAGGTTGCGGGAGCATTTGTCTGGCGCTAACGGCACCAGGCGGAGCCCGTTGGTCATAAATCCGAGTCACCCCTTTCTCATGTCAAGGCCCAACAAGCCCCAAAATTATGTCTTGCGGGAGACTTCCCCGTTGCTGCCCTCGGGTTCGCAACACAGCGCCCTTTGAAGCGAATTTGTTTTGATCTCCCGGCCATAACAGCAGACAGCGCAGCGGCAGGCAGCAAGCCACTGCCACGGCCAGGGACGCTTGGAGGCTGCCCTTGGGGCCCTCCTGCCATGCGTACAGGCCATCCAAGTCTAGCCCACTACAAGCTTGCTTGTCTCGCAGCCCCCGATTTTGGCACAACCAAAATAGGGGGTGGGTGGTCAAATAGATTCGAGCCGTTTTGAATCACGATGCCAACTGAAAGGGACGGCCATGACACTCGTTCGGGTCGGCCAAAAGGGGGGGCCGAAACAAACCCTCCAGCCGCCCCACTGCGTCTGGCTGCTTCGCGCAACCGGGCCTTGAAGAAAAGCAAAGCAAACGCGAACAGGGCCACAAGGGCCTCAGCTCGAAAATGCAAAGATTCAAACCGGCAAGCGAGGAACGCTGGTTCCATCCAAAAGCAGAAATACAGAAGCGGATAGGAATCTTTGGCAAGTGTTGCTAACGCGCCCACTTCAAACCTCCTTCACCCAGAAGCAACCAAGCGAACACATTCCTGGAGCCTGGAACCCTGCTAATTTCGTGTACAATCCAAAGCCAAAAAAGAAGGGTAACATGGGAAAGGGTAGAACAGCTTGCAGCTGAAGAAGGTCGCGTGAGCTCGCAAATAAATCTGGCTGAAGCACCCACAGCCGCTCCACCCACCGCGCTTTGCGCCGTAGACAGCATGCCTCGAGATTCGATCGGATCCGACGCCGTGACCGTCCATGCCCTCGTGGATTTGTGCGGGTGCTTCCTGAGCCCTAGGGTTGCTGTCATTTCTATCCCTCCAAAGCCTATCCGCAAGGAATGCCACCAATTGCACGCAGATATGAAGCTCTCAAAAAGACAAGCCCGAAGCTTGCTGGTGGGCTATCAGCGGGCAGGGGCAGAGTTCAAGCGGTTCCCCACAAATCATGATGCTGTGGGATCAAATCCGGAGTCGTGACAGTTCAGGGGCGCATTCAGACTTGAAAATAGCTCTTCCCTCAACCGCAGGGACTGCAAGAGAGTTCTTCTTGCACCAACAAGCGTCGAGAAATTGATGACAGCTTTCCCAAGTCTAGCGCGAGCACGCAAATCCAGTCAAGTGTCGACGGTCAGCGTAGAAGCGACCACTGTTTGTACTGCAGTTGCTATAAGCCGCAGTTGGCCTTGGCACGGCAAGAGCATAAGCACTGCCGGCAAAGTGTCTGCAACTGCCCATTGCATTGCCTCAAATTGGTCTGCGCTGTCCGTTTGGGTTCCAAGGGAAAACCTCAGGTCTGCCGAGCGTCTTTCCAAGCCCAGGTCGCTCGAGTCTCCTGGTGAGCGTATCGTGTTGCGAGACACCGGCCCTACAGCGCAGCGGCCGTCCTTGCACTTCACTGGCAAAGCCAACTGCTTCCAGAGCGGCAAACGGCCAGAAGAAGCTCACGCAAGCGAGAACACATGACCTGCAAGCGCACATGGCGCAGAATGACAATTGCGAGGAGTCTGGTGAGAACTAACAGAAATCAACAACCTGATCACCTGCACGTTTGCTTCAGCCGCTTTGCGCCACGCTTTGGGGCGCTTGGTCGGTGCGAAAGGATTTCTTGGAGAGGCATCGCTCGTGCCCAAACCTGTTGCCATGTGTCAAACCTGCCCCTTGAACCCGCTGCTTCTCGTGTTTTGAAATGAGGCTCCCATGCTGCCAGGCTGCACCGAGCTGCGCCGCACAATCCTTTCCAGGAGCTCGGATTCCTCGGTGTCGTCTGGAGACCTGCGAGCGCCCAAATGAATTGCCAGGTCGCAAGCCATTGGCCCAGCCTGAGACGTAGCCATTGAAGTATACTGGCCAGATGATCACCGCACCAAACGTTCATCCTCAGCACAAAGAGGCTTTCACGCAAAGAAGCTCTTACCAAGACCTGCGCAAGAACTGCAGCTGTGTTTCAGACAGGGCAGCAAACCACCTGGCCAGCACCTATCCTTCTGGCCCAAGCGCGGGGCCTAGCGGAACGATCCCGTCGCGACTCAAAACCAGGAATTCGTTTCAGACCGACTCGTGACGTCAAATGCTCACAGCGTTATCCGAACTCAGCCGCCGGCTGGAAGGCTGCTCACCCCATCGTGGGGGGCACAGGCTGCAACAGCTGCGGGGAGCGCCGAGTTTGCTGCCCAAGCAATCCCCCGAAGACTTGACCACATCAAACTTGCACGTACCTCCGAACGCCAAGGGAAAAGGCCAGTCGCTTGCAACTCCACTTCATCCCCCCTGCGAGACCCAATTCTTCAAACTGAGCCCCGAGATGGCAACAACAGCCCGGCCGCTGAGACGGACACCGGAACCTCTCCCCCTTCCTTTTGAGCTGAAGCTGCGAAGGTGGAGGTGAGGTCCACCACAGCGCTGACCACCTGGCTCAGCTTCTCGGACCTGCGGTTCGGTTCGGCGAGCTCAAGCAGATCTGGCGACTGCGCCTGGAGCGAGGCATGGGGTGGCTGCTCACCGAGATGGACCCGCCGCCGCGCCTGAGCGTCTAAGCTCTTCCCTTTAGACTCCATTTGCTTGGACCTGATTTCCGACGACTTCCTGCCAGAAGAAGAAAGTCCCCTTACAAACGCCTAAGATTTGCGGAGAGAGCAGCACGTAGCGCCAGCGGGTCTTGGGCCTTTTGTTAACAAACTGCTCTCTGGGCCGGCGGGCGCCTGCTGCAGCGCACTCGACAGCCTGAAGCCGAAAAGAAACGCCGTGCGTGGGGGAATGCCTGGGGGACGGGCTGAAGCAAGCATCCCTATTTCCCGAAACTGATACGGGAGTTCCCAGGCTCAAGATGAACTCAAAGGGACAATTTTCTCCTGTGTTTTGTTTCTTGCCAAGCGGCAGGTTGACAAAAGCAGGAGCTGCGTGTGGCGCAGATGTGTTGTACAGGACCATGGCTTGCGTGCCTGCCGATCGAGCCACTTATCAAGCCCCCAAATGGCTCTTTCGATGTCCTTTTGCCACCAATCCAAAAGAGAGGTCTGAGCTCTCACTGGCTGAAAAAGAGGAAACCCTCGCATGCTTCGGCGGCAAAACGACGAGTGATGCTGCGATTGATGCGCTTGCAGAAACCAGGGGGCTCCCTGCTTTGAGACAAAGGCCGATGCATCCGGCCTAGTGAGCTGTTGGAAGTTGTGAGCACCGCCCCGTAGCCTCTCCGCAATGCGAACAGCGTGAAACGCGAGTCACTTCCCAAACCCGGCTTGAAAAGATGGAATATATGCACGTACTTGTGCGTGTACGTACACAAGTAAGGACTGTCAGCTGGACAAACCAAAACCGTCACTTCTGGTTGGGAACTCCCCCTCAGCTTCAAGTATCTTCAGCCTCCCGAAGTGCGCTGTTCCCCGCGTGTTTGCTGCGGTGTTTGCATGAAGTATGCGTTGCAGTCTTGCCGGATGGTTGTGAGTCCCCTGCCTTCTGTGGGTGTTTGAGGCAACGTGGTGCAGGCGTGTAAGCTGGGCTTCAGATGGACGTTTTCCCCATTCGGATCATTGGGGGATGTTCTGAGAAGGCGTCAACGAAGTGAGCAACCGCAAGAAAGCACCATGCACGGCTGCGCTTGCAAAAGAAAGGCGTGCGTGCCATAACAACGGAAAGAACCAAAAGAGTGGCGTCTGCCTAATGAATAGACCATGTTCCAAACCGGGGCAACACATGACAAAATGTCTTGACCCTCTTGTCGGATCCACGCAGTTTGAGGACCTCACGGACCGGCGTGCTTTTTGGACCCGACTCGCTTCTCGAATGACGGCAAACGACACCCGACGCCGGAAGTCTGCCGAGCCACGAACGTCGGAGCGCTTGGAGATCGCCCCACCTGCAAGTCCCGATGGCACATGAATGTTCCAAATAGAAAACATGTCCCAAAACAACTCCCTTTTATTTTGGCCTTCTTATCGCAGGTGCACCACAGTCAGGTGCATCAACAACAATCCTCGCAAGCTCAAGTTGGGTTTCTCTTGATTGCTCAGACTGCACCACTCCTTGCTTTCTTCCAAGTCCCATGCTGCCTAAGAACTGCTCAAGCCGAAACAGAAAACAGGCGCACCCAGCTCCATCAAATCTGCGCATGGGCGTGTCTTGGACTCGTTTGGATGGCGCTCAATGGGCAACCCGAACCCTTAAAGGAAACCAGTGATTTCGGGGTTCGGGTCCACGGGATTTGATTTGGGCTTCGCTTTGTTTCGCTGGGTCCGAGTTAAACTGCCCTCCATTTCAAGAACACCCGAATGTTGTAGAGCCGCATGTTCCAAGACCCGAAGATCCCAAGCCGGCCTTGCTGGAAGAGCAGCGTGGCCATGCGCAGCAAAGCATCCGGCTCCGCCACCGCGGGGGAGAAGGGCAGAGAGCACACCGTGCCCACCGGGCCTAGACGCACACATCCGAATCGACTCCGAATCGCACCGACCGTCCGGAAGCAAACCCACGCATCTGCGAATCCATTCACTTGAATCTCCCTCCACCTGCTCGTCCTAATGATAGCTAGCTGCCTATCTTTTCCATGTCCTGCTTTCTTGTTTCCCAAGTTCATTCCTTCCAGATCCTTTCGGCTGCGACAATATGCTATAGAAAGCAAAAGGTAGAGTGAGGACTTGTCCAAGTTGATGCTTGCCTATTTCATGCTTGTCCTAACTCCTAAAGTCCTTGCCCCATCTGCGAAGAGGGGGCTGTATATGAGAGACACATGAAAATGACTTGCCTCTTCTCTGTCCCTCACTCAAGTTGTTTGCGAGCATGACGGGACGAAAATAGAGCATGACGAGCCCCGAAAATCTACGTCCTACCACATACTATCTTCAGCAGTCCACTTTTGGTTGGTTGACAAGGTTGGATTTGGCTACAACTGCGCCATCTTTCCTACAGTGAACTCAGTGAACCATAAACGAAGGGGTCTGTTGAGCTCTGAAGGCGCGTTGCCCTCGGCCGATCCGAGGGCCCCGGCAGGTCTCGTTCTGCGAGGAGGCGCATTCCACGGGGCACACGTCGGCCACGGTGCCGATGGGCTTCAGCAGGTCGCAGGCCTCGAGGCTCCGGTCTCAGACCGTTTCGGGTTCGAGTCTTAGGGAAGTGAAGTGGCAGCTTTTTCGGGGATCTTTTTCTAATCGGAGTGGGAGAACCCGCAACGGATGTGAAAATGGGCATTTGGCATTTGTCGGGAAATTTGATTTTTGGGAATGGGAGGGGGAGAACCCACAACGTGCCTTGGCTGAAACCCCCGAGATGGCGAGATGGGATCGCATGGGCATGTGTCCTCCCCTGCAGATTAGCCTGGGATGGCTTTAGATCATCAAGGAGAGCAACCCTCCAGTCGGGCCTCGTGTTCTCACCGGCTGTGCAAATGTGGCCGATACATCGCACAAAAGTGGTCGAGCCGTTGGGTGGACCTTTGGTTGTTCTGTCCCCACGAAGTCTGCGAGCAAAGGCGAAAAATCCGGCTGTTCAGCGGATTGCAAGTTGGTCGACCGACACCTTTCCGCGGCCTTGGAGTAGTTGGCCGCACCCAGGCACACCTTCGGCAGGCTAGAGACGCAAGAAGGGGGCACACAAAGCCGCTGCAAAAGACTTGGAACCAAAGCCTGTCTCAGACTCTGCGAAGAGTCTCGCCACATGGAAAATCTACAAAGTTGTGGGTGGCCGGACGGCTAGGGTGTGGATTTGGCTCAAGTTGGGGACAGGCTCAAAAGCAAAACTGGCAGGAAGAACTTGCCATTTGGACATACTTGGATCTGAGTATCTGATGCCTAATCCCTTCCCTCAAATAATAAACGCGGACCCCACCTTATCCAGAATCATGGAGTTCTGAATGCATGTGTATACATGTGTATACATGTGTATACATGTGTATACATGTGTATACATGTGTATACATGTGTATACATGTGTATACATGTGAGGAGCGGACGAAACACTTTACTTGGCCATAGTACTTTTTTGAACGTTATCGTTTTTGGGAGAGACCTTATCGTTTTACAGTGTTTTCGAACTCTGGCACATCCGGCTCGAAAATCGCAACTTTGTAGTACAAGTCTAGTACGCGAAGTACACTTCCGCATCTTCAGCTCGAAAATCGCAACTTTGTAGTACAAGTCTAGTACGAGAAGTACACTTCCGCACCTCCAGCTCGAAAATCGCAACTTTGTAGTACAAGTCTAGTAAGCGAAGTACACTTCCGCAGGACCAGCTCGAATATCGCAACTTTGTACTACGAAGTACACTTCCGCATCTCCAGCTCGAAAATCGCAACTTTGTAGTACAAGTCTAGTACGAGAAGTACACTTCCGCATCTCTAAAATCGCAAGCTGGTAGTACAAGTGTAGTACGCGAAGTACACTTCCGCAGCTCCAGCTCGAAAATCGCAACTTTGTAGTACAAGTCTAGTACGCGAAGTACACTTCCGCATCTCCAGCTCGAAAATCGCAACTTTGTAGTACAAGTCTAGTACGGAAGTACACTTCCGCAGCTCCAGCTCGAAAATCGCAACTTTGTAGTACAAGTCTAGTACGCGAAGTACACTTCCGCAGCTCCAGCTCGAAAATCGAAACTTTGTAGTACAAGTCTAGTACGCGAAGTACACTTCCGCAGCTCCAGCTCGAAAATCGCAACTTTGTAGTACAAGTCTAGTACGCAAAGCGCACTTCCACATCTCCAGCTCGAAAATCGCAACTTTGTAGTGCAAGTCTAGTACGCGACGTACACTTCCGCATCTCCAGCTCGAAAAACGAAACTTTGTAGTACAAGTCTGGTACGCGAAGTACACTTCCGCATCTCCAGCTCGAAAATCGCAACTTTGTAGTACAAGTCTAGTACGCAAAGTTCAACTTTGTAGTACAAGTCTAGTGCGCGAAGTACACTTCCGCAGCTCCAGCTCGAAAATCGCTAGTACGCGAAGTACACTTCCGCAGCTCCAGCTCGAGAATCGCAACTTTGTAGTGCAATCCTAGTACGCAAAGTACACTTCCGCATCTCGAAAATTGCAAGATGGTAGTGCAAGTGTAGTACGCGAAGTACACTTCCGCAGCTCCAGCTCGAAATTCGATGCTTTGTAGTACAAGTCTAGTACGCGAAGTACACTTCCGCATCTCCAGCTCGAAAATCGCAACTTTGTAGTACAAGTCTAGTACGCGAAGTACACTTCCGCAGCTCCAGCTCGAAACTCGATGCTTTGTAGTACAAGTCTAGTACGCGAAGTACACTTCCGCATCTCCAGCTCGAAAATCGCAACTTTGTAGTACAAGTCTAGTACGCGAAGTAAACTTCCGCAGCTCCAGCTCGAAAATCGCAACTTTGTAGTACAAGTCTAGTACGCGAAGTACACTTCCGCAGCTCCAGCTCGAAATTCGATGCTTTGTAGTACAAGTCTAGTACGCGAAGTACACTTCCGCATCTCCAGCTCGAAAATCGCGACTTTGTAGTACAAGTCTAGTACGCGAAGTAAACTCCGCAGCTCCAGCTCGAAAATCGCAACTTTGTAGTACAAGTCTATTACGGGAAGTACACTTCCACAGCGCTCCAGCTCGAAAATCGCAACTTTGTAGTACAAGTCTAGTACGAGAAGTACACTTCCGCATCTCCAGATCGAAAATCGCAACTTTGCTAGCACAAGTCTAGTACGCGAAGTACACTTCCGCATCTTCAGCTCGAAAATCGCAACTTTGTAGTGCAACTCTAGTACGAGAAGTACACTTCCGCATCTCCAGCTCGAAAATCGCAACTTTGTCGTGCAAGTCTGGTACGCGAAGTACACTTCCGCAGCTCCAGCTCGAAAATCGCAACTTCTCAGTACAAGTGTCGTATTTACGAAGCACACCTTGGCAGCTCCAGCTCGAAAGTGGCGACTTGCCTTCTCGTTTTACGGTGGCCACGCAAGGGTCCCACCCTAGCTAAGTTGCAACTGCAGGGGTTATTATAGAGCCGTGTGCTAGCTAAGGGCTATCGTTTTTGGGGGAGACCTTATCGTTTTCCATGGTTTTGGCATGTGTTATGCAAAAACGTACCCCGCCTTGATAAAGTGGTCTTCGTGTGTTTTGTCCGTGGCTCATGTGTATACATGTGTATACATTGCGTCGCATCCCGCATTGACCTAGAAAGCCGAGCACGTTGTGGGGCCTTTGTCGGTTGCTTGTGGCTCACTAGAAAGCAGTGGGGCGCATTTGTTCTTGAGGGTAGGCCTCTGTGGGGATCACAAAATGAAGCTAACTAAAACCGCAAACAAGAACGAACAGCCCCCCCACAAGTCACGTGCAACACACGTGTACACAGGGAAGTCCGTAAGGCCCAAGTTTAGATGCACATTGCGCGAAGATGAGGATCCGACGCAAGTTCCACGCTTTTCTTCCTGCAGCAAGCGGGATACGATTCGTGCACCTGCGCATCTGGAATAACTGCTGTGACCCAATTCGCCTGCCAGCCTGAGCATATGCCCCAGTGCGAAGAAAGACCAAGAAAGGTAGAAAGTGGCTGGAAAGTGGGAAAACAAAACAAACAAACCAGCATCCGGGCTTTGATTCGCACCGAATGTGGTGGGGGCCCTCTTCTTCGCCTGACTTTGGACCGTGCGAATGACTTGGAAAAGTCGCGGGCCAGGTTCATGGGAGACGAGATGCGCTCATCCACGGGGTGGCCCGCTGGCAGGTCATTGAGCGGTGTTCGCATTCTCCCAGAACATGTGGCAGCAGTGGAAGTTGTCGCATGATGCTTTACACCCCCTTGCGCGACTGCCGGTCGTCGAGCCTAGCGTTGGGGTGAGTGTTGAGCGGTTGCTTGGCGTGGGATTTTGCGAGTAGCCGCCCTCGGCCTGCAGCCACCACCCAAATGTTTGGGCATTCGTGGTGCGTACGGTTGCCCCTGGTTCTTTGCCCACGGGCCCGTCGTCCCCGCTGGACTACTGCACCAGTTCACATCTTGGAGGCGTGTACTGCTTGGAAATCGTGGCGCAGTTGGTAGCAGGCTCTGGCAAGCCCGACATGGCGCGAAGATGAGGGCGCAGTCTAGGATGCGCGCCAAGCCAAAAGCTCTCCGGACAAAGCACCAGCCTGCAGCGTGGTTCCAAGGTGGCTTGTCACCCCCAATGGCGCGCGAGTCGGAATCCCACCTTCGCGATGTGTCCAAATTTCGGTTATGCTTGCGGGGACCTGGCTTGAATCCAAGGAATCTGATCAGATTAGAGTCGTTAGCTTGCGCTTGCCACTGCGACGCAACTGCGCATCCTCAGTCCTGACTGATCTCGCGAGAGAGGTTGCTCAGAGCTGGTGGTTCGCAGGACTGAATGGTGCAAGCAGGAGCACAAGGCAAAATTGAATGCTAGACGTCATGAGCAAAGAAACAAAGATACATAGTCGGGGCGCCCTCGGACGAAAGCTAACTTAGAACTCCCAAAGGCGCGAAAACGGGCCATGGCTCAAATAACAAAAAGAAAAGCGTCGGGCCTCTGATCCGCATTGGCTGCGGCCGAGACCATCTGGATTCAAAGACTGAGAAGATGACACAGTTCGCCACTTTTTCACATTCCAGCTTTTTCCAACAAAACCCTTCCATGGTCCCAATGGCAATGATCTGCTCTTGGGCCTCCGGGTCCTCTGATTTGGGCCATGGGACTGTCCCACCAGGGGCGTTTTTCGGTGCCCCGCCTCCCGGCACTGCGAGCGGCAAATGCTCTCGGAGATGTCCGCTCGCTGCAGGCAGCTGCCCGTGCACTGGGCAGCGCCTGCCTGCGGCTTTGAGGGCCAACTTCAATCAAATCGCCGATTATTTCTCCATCTTTGGTTGGAAATCGGCTCCAAGAAAATCCCAATAATTGGAAGCAATGGAGACACGGCCATGGGTCAACAGCCAAATCGTAACCCCAGTGAACATCCTGAATCCCCACTCAAATAGACTTAAATGGGTGGTGCACCTACCCCAAAATGGGATCCCACAACGGTTTTGACCCACAGCGAAATGGAGCATTGTCACCGAACCTCGCGAGTGAGTCCCGCCTGGCAGGCATCCTGGATGGCGGCCTTGCAGCCGTCGCTGTCGGTGCTGCAGCCGATGCCCATGTTCACACTGCCTCGAGCAGAATTGCCCTCAGGTATTTCACAAAAAATATGTTTTACGATAAATTTCAAAGTTTATTTTAAAGTGTTTCTTCGGCCCCTCCCCCCTTGCCTTTGGAAATCAAAGAGCAACCCAGTGGTTTCGACTGCGTCGGACGCATGTTCGCGCGGGCGTGCACTGGGCACCACGGCTGGCAAGCTCCAGGAATGGCAGGATATGCTCACAAATGTTGTTCTCCTGAGAGCGACACGAACCCCAGCCGTGAAGCCTTCATGCACTGCGCTACCGCCCACTCCTTCCAGCACTTGGAGAGGAAGCTGGGCTTCTCCTCACAGAGTTCCTTGGATGCGCCACCCTGATCTATTCAATTCGACCACCTTGCATCCAAAGGGCGAAGACCGGGCTCCCCTCGGCATACTTCCTGCCAAAGATCAGGCCATCTGCCACGCCTCAGCTCGCGCCCTCGCGCTCTCGCGCTCTCCGCTCCCCGATCGAGCCCTCCGCTCGCCTTCCGTGAGCTGCTCCGGCTGCAGGCGCACGTGCGCCGCGCTGCTGAACTCGCCTGCGAACTCGATTCGCTTCGCCGGCTCAGCGCCCAAAGGTGCGTAGCTGCCAAGCGACGGTCGGCGCAAGGATCATCAAAGGATCAACGTTGAGGCCAAAAAGGTGGGTCATCTTTGTATCCCTGGCCAAGTGACTCCAAGAGGGGGGCACTGGCCTGTGACGTTGAAGGGCACTGGCGTGTGCCCGAACTGACTGGCCACGTCAATCAGCAGCGCCGGCATATGGCGGTCTCCGACCCTCGCACAAATGGGTCCAACATCCAACCGGATGTAAGGCGCGCCCAAAGCGGAAACACAGAAGCTCCAACACAACACAGGTTTGCTTGAAGGAAGCTTCGGGTTCCAAGCATAGGATGCTAATGTCGTTTTCTAGTACGTTCTGAGGGCAGGGGGTGGTGTCGCGGCTTTGGGGGCCAAAAAACCGAGCGGCACATTCAGAATGCCAAGCCCAAAGGCCAGGAGAGCCACCGGCATAAGAACCTCAGAGGTGAGCTCTCAGCGAAAGCCTCGCACGGCCTCGGTCCTTTCGCTCTGTAAGGACGCTTTACGAAGAAGTCTAACGGAAGGACGTGCCCGCCGAGCTGCGGTACACGCGAGCGCCTGAGCCAGAGAGCTGATCAGGGGCACAAAACGACACTCGAAGACGGAAATTCCCGTGCCGGATTTCAGCTCTCGGGCAACAAGAACCCTCCGAGTTTCGTTCTCGCGCCTTGATGTCACGCCGACCGTACCGGGCACGCTTCATGAAAAGCCTTGGTGCCAAGACAATGAGTTGGCCGCAGGATTCGAAAGTCTGTGGAGCAACCCGGAGCACTCTTCGCAGACGCGGCCAGCCGCCAACCGCGAGCCGCCAACCCACTGCTCGCAGGCGAGGCACGCGCCCAGGTGACGCCACACTCGGGGCTTCAGGGTGGCCGCGGTCCATTGGCTCGTCGGATGGGCCTCGCTCGAGTCGCTCGGGTGCCCATCCATCTCCCCGCTGGCCACTTTCAGGAAGACCTCCTGCGATCGATTTTGGCGCAACTACATCCGGATCCTTGGAGAAACCGACGAGACGTGAAGCAAAGCTGAATAGGCTGCCTGACTGCCCAACAGTGCACAGGTCCTCCAGCTTGACCATGGAGAGGCCGTAATGTGCAAGGCCAAGGCTAGCAGCATTCCTGCGCGAGCCGCCAGCTGCATGAGCACATCGGGCTGTTCAAGCGAGTCCTCTCCAAATCCGTCAGCAGGCCGTGGAAGCTAGACGTCGCGGATGATGGCAACTGGCAAAAGAGTCTGGGAACGGAATTCGAAGGCCAACACATCGCCTTCACCTTGAGATCATGTGTCAGGTCAGCAACAATTGGTCTTGGCTGCTTCTTGACCGGAGAAAGGTAACACTCGATACCCAAAACGGGATTGTCAGTGCCGCAAAGAGTCTACAGCAACGGAAACAAAGCACAAGCAAGCAAACAAACACACAAACAAGCAAGCAAGCAAACAAACAAACAAACAAACAAACAAACAAGTCCTCAAAACGCTCGATGATTTGACTCTCGGTTCGCCATGGGCCATTTGTCTCTCAGAGCCATGTCCCTATCCACTTCAGTCCTGCCCCGGAAAATCAGAACGAACTACATTCCTGGGCCTACATGAATGCACATGGGCGTAAAGAAGACAAACCTTGCACAATTTGGCAAGGGCCCCTACAGTACACAATGCTTTTGCCAGGGCTCAAACTCAGACAAACGCAGCAAACTGGGTAGGTGTCTCCAGTTTCCCTGGAACAGAACACCAAAAGCGAAACCATCTCACACATTGGACATAAAAGAAACGGGACCCAAGTGTCGAGCTTGGCTTTGCTGATTTACTCGAGTCGGTTTGGTGAGAAGACTTCTTCGCCTGCATGGCCAGCTCTGCCCCGATGTCCGTGATGCGGCGCGCGTCCGGCACGTGGCGCTTCACAGCCTCACTGTCTCCATGGGGAAAGGGGGACACCTCCGTTGGTCCTTGGAACCACGAACTCGATTTTCGGTTTTCTATGATATGGGCTTGCGCATTTGAATTTTACTGTATTGCCTTGAGAAAGAGCTCTGAGGCAAGCCAACAGGAAAGCCAAACACATCGAGGGCCCATGTCGGGCTCCCGAGAAAAAACGGCTTCGAAGTGAGATGTCTCATCCCCTTTGCTTTGGCAATCCCTTTGGCGATTGCAGCTTTGCCTATCCAGGAACAGTATGTTCCGTTCACCCGGCCGGAAAGGGCGGATGGGCCGGTGTCCAGTCAGATCTGAATATGGACTCGAATAGACGGCTCTGGGTGCTTTGAAGCCGAAACGGAAGGCTAAGAAAGCATTTCTCCGCACAACGATCTCATGCAACTTGGAAACATCTGGGTCAAAGGAATGCCCCGCCCGGGAAAAAGAAAAGACGCGAGATGTTGGCAGCCAACATCCAGGAATTCGCAGAGTCCAATCGAGAAGGCGGTTGGGACTGCGCCACAATCTTTATCTTAAGATTTGTTTGGCGGCTGGCTGGAGTCGTTTTGCGTTTTGTGATTCTTATCTGTAGATCAATGTCCCGCTGCAACAAAGGGCCACCGCGCGACAGCCTGAGCATGCTGCCATCTCAATGGGATCATTCTCCACCGGCACATGTGCCACATCCTTGGCAGGTATTCTGGAAAACTTGACCAAAGGATCCAACAGTGGCCCTTTGGCGCAAGGTAAACTTAGGCCCGCGAGGGCAACAGTGCACATCGATGCTTGTGCGGCCCTGTAGCCCCCGTCACTTGCCCCCGCCTCTCTGGAACACGTGAGCCGGTACCCAGCGCCGAACCGCGCCTCAAGAAACGTGAAGCCGCTTGCAAGGACACTTTGGCCCAGAGGCAAAAGAGAAAAGGCGGGTTCGGTGAAGAGTCGCGGGCCTTGGCTTCAACGAATCTGAACAACCCGACAGCCCGCCTTGAGGAAGAGCGAGGAGCCGCAGACGCACAGCCGGCCCTCGGCCATGATGGCCACGCGGTCCCCCAGGATATCCGCCTTTCGACGGTGACTCCAACGGACTGTTCCGAGCCCTAGTGTTCCGACTCCAAACCCCGGCCTCATCCATGAAGTGCGTCGTCAGCACCACCACGCGGCCTAACGAGCAGGAATCGCGGCACGGATTGCAGCGACGGAGAAAGGAGAAAGGAGAGAGGCGACAGATGCGAAAGATCGGCGCCTTCCCGCGCTGCACGGATGATGTTCCAGGTGGATCTGCGGCTGTAAGGGTCCATGCCTCACCCCGCTCTCGCCCTCGGCCCCCTTCCAGGAGTCTACGGTTCATGGATGCAGTCGCAAGGGAAGTTGTCACCCAGAAAGAAGTCTGGAAGATCTGTCCAGTTTCCCTTCAACAGGAGGCACATCCATCTACCTCGATTCCGAATGGGAGCTGCGTCGTTTTACGGGGCATTGATCGCTTGCTGTCCGGGTCTCATCTAGGGACAAATCCACAAACCCACCTGCGTCATAATCAAAACCTGGTGATGGTCCACCCAAACCCATGTAGAGAACCCAAAAAGGCGGCCGCCTCCCCATGTATGGCTGCAAATGTGTCCCTTGCTGACCTGCACTCACCGGTCTGAGTGCCGCGCCCGAGGTGGGCTCGTCCAGAAAGACCACCGGGGGCCGCCCGATCAGCGCCAGGCACAAGGACAGCTTCCGCTTCTGGCCCCCGGAGAGGGCTCCTGCGATGAAAAACGCCTGCGGCTTCTCGGCTCTGAGTTCCAAGTGTCCAACTCTCAGAGGTACGGCCAAGTGCCTGTTATTAATAGAAGACCGTGGAATGCTGAATTACTTCTGGCGTTTTTGCTTTATTTTGGACTGTGGGAATGGCCGATTCGAGTTCCTGCCAATGATGTATTCTCTGAAACTTAAGATGGAACCCCAAAACGACCCCACGCAGACCTTAGGGGAATCTCCTTTTGCGGTGGTTCCGTGACCATTTCCTGAGGATGGCTCGTGCCCGTTGCTTTACTTTTCTGTGCGGCTCTGTGGCGCGCTTGAATTCCCTCGTTGGCTCGTGGGGCTCCTGCGCGCGTGCGGGCTTTCTCGGTCAAGCCCACCTTCTGCATCATCTCGCTGGCGCGGCTCGTGACCTCCGGACTGCAAGGGATGGCGTTCACGCCTATTGCTCCTTAGCCTTTCTCTGTACGTGTCACTTTGGGATTCCACGGAGTACAGATCTGCTCAAGTCCACATGGAACGGACTTGACTGCATCGGCAAGCACCGGCAATGGCCTCTTCAGGTGGCACGCCGCGCAGCTGCGCGAAGATCGTCAGATGCTCCCATACCTCAGCTACCCTCAGACTCAACGGACTCCAATGGAGGCTTGAGGTTGTGCCCAGAATTGTCTGGTAAAAGAATCTGCATTGAACTCCTGGAGTCCGGGATTAGATGTTTCAGCGCCCTATGAGCAGGCAAGCAAGAGTTCGTCGAGCAACTGTTCTGCCTGTCAAAGTCTTCATGATTCGATGTCCTCCGTGTCAGTTGCTGCGCGTAGTGAAGTGACTTCCAAGGATTGTAGTCACAGCTCACCCCTCGCAGAGCAAAAGGTCATGCTGACCTGCCAAGGTGCTGTCAGTTCCAGCCAAAGGATATCGTGCTGCGGGCCTCAGCGTACGCAGACAAGGCTCCAGGACACGGGCACACAAACAATCGGGAAGTGTCCGAAGGATCCCTCAGTCGCAACTCGCCTTTCCCCTGCCCTTCCAACCCTTCCGACCCTTCCAAGCCCCGCTTTCGGATGTCCAACATTCGGGCTTCCCTCCATCTGGGGCTGCCGGGCACACGCCGATGACCTGGCGGATCTCCTGCAAGCCGTCGCTGAGGCGGTGCCCCGCCACCACGGCATCCCCGGAGCTGGGCTCCACCATGCCCGTCAGCCTCCCGGCGCAAATCCGTGGCGCCCCTTTTCGGTCCGGGTTTTGGTGGAAAACCCACATGTGCTCTTGGAAAGGGGAATCAACACCACATGCAAACCAGAAAACGACTTGCGACTTGGAAGGCCGCGGCGCATGTTGATGGTGGTGGACTTGCCGGCACCGTTGTGGCCCAACAACGCCAGGATCTGGCCATCGAACATGGCGAGGTCGAGGCCCTCCACCGCCACCTCGACACGTCACTTACTTCACCGCTCACTTGACAGATTCCAACAGATTCCAACAGATTCCAACAGATTCCAACAGATTCCAACAGATTCCAACAGATTCCAACAGATTCCAACAGATTCCAACAGATTCCAACAGATTCCAACAGATTCCACTACTTCCACTCTCAATACCCACTTCTCTTTCCACGTCACTTCCTAACTTCACTCCTCACTTGCTTTCCCACATCACTTGCGACAGTTCCTCCCGCTGTTCTTCCTTCACTTCGCGCTCTGCTTTTCCCGCCCCCTTGACTTCCCACTTCACTTCCACTTCACACCTCACTTTGACTACAACCCGCCCAACAATGTTCTGTGCAGTGGATGGCACAATATGGGACACGTGCGCACGCGTCCACGCCATCTACGGTTGATCTTAATTTTGAACAGTTGAGTTCCACTCAAAGCTTAATAGGGAAAGGAGTGCGCGTGTCCACCGATTGTTGCCACGATCCAAGGTTGCGATTGCAAAATCCAAAATTATTTGATTTATTTCCCCACTGTTTTGCATGTTCAGCCCTCCCCAACGACACCCATGATGGCAATGTCTGGTTGTCCAAACCACCAACTCAAAAGCAAAAATAGAAAGCACAAGTGTGGCAAAACACAACAACCTTTCCGGTTCTCCACCTTCAAAGGCAAAGAAAGAAACAACGCAGCAAGCTGGCGAAAAATGCGCCATGCCGGCGCTGCGGCCGCGCGCGCCTTCTTGCCGCCCGGGGTCTGGAACTCCTTGCGCAGCGCCGTGGTGCGCACCACGCAGCCCGAGGCCGCGGAGCGGCGCCGCAGCGCGGTCGCCACCTCTCCGGGAGCCGGGCGCAGAGGAACGACGAGAGGGCGGAAAGGGACTCGAAACAGATGGCAGAACCGGCCAAAGAAACCCACGTAGCTTTGCTCCGACGAAAGCGGGCCCTCTCGACTCTAACCAGAAAACAAATATGGAACAAGGTGCATGACCCACAGCCAGCATTGCCAAAGCAAACAACTTGCGCATGACTCACGGCGAGACTTCGCCACCATTGAAATTGTAAAAGGTGCAGAAAGTATGACATCTATCACAGAAATGAGAAGATGTGCCCACGCAAAAAAGTCGCTTCGAAGTACTGCACCTGTCGCAGAAACCAGCACCAGCAGAGCAAAGAGTGAGCGAGTGGCTGGGTGAGAAAAAGAGCGAGGAGAAGAGTGAGTGAATGATGGTGCAGCAGAGTTCAACGTCTTGACCCCGCAGTGCAGAAAAGACTCCCAAAACAACAACCCAAAATGTCAGGTGTCCCTTTGTCTTTGGGTGCAAACTGAACACTTTGACTTCCCTACAAAGCCGCACTCTTTTTTTGGGGGTTGCCCCTTGTCCGAAGCCATTTGGCCATGGGTCAAAAGCCAAATCGTACCCCAAGTGAACATCCCAATCCCCACTATGGACCAAAATGGGTGGTGAATTCACCTACCCCAGAATGGGATCCCAAGCCGTTTTTTTGACCACGGGCACATGGAGCAGTGCCACATGGAGCCGCCCAGCCGTCCCCCGCCTCCTCGGCGCAGCCAAGGGCCGCGCACTGTGCCGCCGGGCCCCGCAGCGCCGCGTCCGCTGCGAGCTCCGCCGCCTCCGCGGCGCCCAGCGCGGGGGACCTCGCCGCGCGCAGGCGACGGGACGGAGGCGAAGCATTCAGAGGAGGTGGCTCCGGGTTCAGCCTGTCATAAGGATGATGGGAAGGAGACAGCGGCACCTGGGAAGACGAGACAAAGCAAGAAAGAAAGACAGAAAGCAAGGAGGGAAGGGAAGGAAGGGAAGGAGACAGCAAGCAACAAGAGAGAAAGCCACGAGAAGACAAGGAGACAGAAGGAAACCTGGACGAAACGGGACAGCGAAATGTGGCAAGCTCTGGCTTCAAGGAACACCGGTGAAAACCACTACAAAAAGAGGATGCGCGAGGGATCCCTGCAGAAACATCACAGTTGCCGCAAAAACACAATCTACGATGCCTCTCGCACCTTTACTGTTTCCCCGTGCCTCGTTGACTGCCAAAAGGAGCGCTGCAGGAAGAAGTGCGGGGGCAGGCGCACGCCGAACTCTTTGGGCAGCACCCGATCGAAGTACCATCCCAGCGCAGTAAACCTCGGCTTGGTTCCGTTTCGTTGAATCCCTCTGGAGCTTCGAGGGGACAAAACGGATTCCGAGATGCGTTTTAGTCCCCAGAAGGTGTATAATTAAGCCGAGGAATCGACCCCTTCTAGCCCTTGCTGGAAGGAAACACACAAGGAAACCCACCACTTGCTTGTGTCCAACCGATTTTGACACCCGCAAGACGACGTGCGAGCGTGGCCGTTGAATGCTCGTCTTTCCGCTCAGGGGCAAAAGGATGTCCAGGCACATCATGCCCAGAACCTCTGCGAAGGAGGTGTTCCTCACCTGGCTCTGGCTCCCATAACCCAATCACTCATGACATCCAGGACGTACTTTTTCTGAAAGAAGACACCTACGAAACCTACCGATTTGTTGGGGTCCGTGAAGTCTCACGTCTTGTTTCAAAACACCCCGCTTGCAAGTGAATGAATCCTTGGGGCCCCGGCTTCCATGAAGATGTTGCTCCACTGAGCACCCACCCTGGCCGCTTCGAACTTCGCGAGAACTTCCAGGCCGGTGCAAAACGCGGCATTGGGCATCAGCATGAGCCTTAAGCTGTCGCTTCTCAGCCATCTCGGTCTCTCTCGAAATTGGGGGCGCAGCAGCACAGAGACCGTCTCGGATGGTGGACCCTCTTGATTCTGCGAGGAATACCTGAAGCACAAGAAGTAGAAGAGGCACAAGAAGCGCAAGAAGCGCAAGAAGCGCAAGAAGCGCAAGAAGCGCAAGAGGCACGAGCCCCGCCGGCACTCGCCCCGACTGAAGCAGAGCTGCACAATCCATTGCGCGAACATGATGATCATGCCAACGATGCCTCCTGAAACCGAAACGGAATGGGCGGCGCACAGCTCAAAAGTGGCTGAGCTACTGTCCTGTGCGAGACTGATTGAAGAAGCAGTGAATGAACCATGCCTTAGCTCTTTCTCGGTCTGCACTGCTGCCATGTTCAATACATGTCCAGGGCACGAAGGCAAGGAAGGACATACACCAAAGCCAGAAGAACGCGAAGATCAGCATTGTGCTGGATCCCGGGAAGACCTCAGAGTGGAGTCATGGTATGTCAAGCTGCATCATGAACTCGAGCGCGCGTTGATTGCAGGCCTCTGTCGCTCAAACCAAACTGGTGCTGGCCCAAGCGGCGTAGAAAGAGGAGACCACCGCGAAAATGGCGCAAAGGGCGGCGAAAATGGCACCGTAGGTCACAAACCAGGAGCCTAACGTGAGCAAAAACGGCGCCGGATTTCGTTGGGATTGGCAGTTCACGCGCGAACAAAGGTTAGGAGGGCCCCCGTTGGGCTGTCGAGGCAACAGCCGAGCAGCTAATGATGGCGAGGCTTCCCACGCCGAGCATCCGTAAGCTTTCTCGCACCTTCGTCTCCTTCTCCGAGATCAGCTCGTTGAGCACCTCGCACGGACACGCGACGGACATGCGCGGCGGCTCTTTCCGCGCGCGCGCACGCGCACGCGCGCCGCGCGGCTCTCACCTGCCTTCTTCTGAGTGTAGAGGAAGGCTACGATGAAGACTAGGGGGAATGCGAGGGCAATAAGTTCCTGAGGCAAGCCCTGACACTCATCACTCGGCCACGGCCCTCCCAACAGCCCTTTTTGCCCTTTGCATCGTTTGCAGCTCGTGCCTCGTGAGTCTTGGCTTACGACATAGGTCCCGGGACGCCTGATCTGAGCTCCAGGCGAAGAACCCATCCAGGACGATGCCGCCAACGGGCATGGGCAACGCACCCAGTGCCTGTGGATGGTAGCCTCAGGGCTCAAGGGACGCGGCCACCCATGCGGGCAAAGTATAGCGCGTTTGTAGATTCGCAAACTTTCAAGAGACTAAGTACGATCCGGCATGGCTGCTAGTCGCAGATCTGCCCATCTGCTTTGTCCAGGGGAACCAAACTTGTGAAGGTCCAAAGAGTGCGACCCTCTCAAGTGCCATGCCCAGAGGTTCAGCCAAGGCGTCCTCTAGGGGGGGCGGTCAGTGATCCGGGTGTCCAAACATGATTGTCTCCAAGACCTCGACTGACAAGCATCCCAAAACTGGATTCGTGTCTGCTATTCGTCGTTTTCAAGTCAGCAAGTCGCCAGACTTGCTCATCACGCGCCGTCGTGTTTCTGCACATGCCAGCAGCTCCGATGTACAAATCGAGTTTTGCTAAGAGCTGCTCGGGCTGTCTCAACTGCTCTTCACAAGCTGACTTGCACTGTTGCCTGCAAAGATGTCGCCCTTTTGCACAAAACAGGTTGTGCATGAAGCTCGTGGTCAGGGGCTTTTGCTTGGGGTTGCTGGGCCTGGTGCAGGGTTGGGCCGTCCATGTGTTTCAACGGCTTCAATAAGCAGATTAAACGCAAGGGTGTTGTAACATGGTCCCTCAGCCCCCGAAGCCGAGACCGTCTGCCTCACATGCTCAACCGTTTCAAGCCCAGCTCACGCTCAGGGCGAGGGGCCCAGCGGAAAATTGCAGCCCTGTCTCGGGGTGGTTCAATTTGTAACGTTTAAACGAGGCCTTTCCAGTGGTCCTGGAGCAGTTTACCAGCGCATGTTTAAACACATGGTGAAGGGGGAGTGGTTAAACATGTCCGAACAAAGGGGGAACCCTCTTGTGATTCGGGCACGAGCCTGTGCCCAGGCAATGGGTAAGTTGGGGTAAACAAGCCACAAAAGAAAGGTTCCCCAAAAGCAAACCAATCCCCGGTCCCAAAGATCAGGGTTTCCCACACACCAGAGAACAACAACCAAAAGGAAAACAAACCAAACAAGAAAAGGGTTAACCCGCAACCTTGGTCGACAACAGGCCGCACGACTGGTCCCTACCAACCTGGCGGCGGCCCGAGGTCTCTTTCTCCCCCGAGATGCCGTCGGTCGACGCAGGGGTTCGGCGACGCCCATTCGAGGCGCGACGGAACCCAAAACTTGAGCCAAACACCACAGGTCAGTCACTACCGCGACATCCCTGGTGATGAAATAAACCATGGCTAATCACACCCCCCTCACGAGGAGCCCGTCATATGACGGGTGGAGCGTGCCATTTACTGATAGGATTTAACTGCTCGCATACGTCCGCAAACAGCTGGACACTACCGCCGTCAGCGGTGGAGCAAACCCACAAAGGCAGTCGCGCGACATCCCGGGCATTAAATTCCCGCCACCACCCCGAATTAATCGGGGTAACGCTGTCCAACATACCTTGTGGAAAAGTCCACATGACGACAATGGTCACAACTGTTTGCATCAGAAATGCAAGAAGTTTAATTCTTATCAGAAGCCATGAAATAAAAGATAACGTATGTCCATTAGTACCCTCGCCTAACGGCAAGAGGTACTCCTGACCATGCGTACCTGAAAAATGCCTGAATTCCGCAAACCCGGGAGTAACCCCCCATCAGTTTGCTTTCCCTCTCACTCATACTGCTTCCGGATGAGCACGTCCAGCAGCTCAGCAGCGGTACGGGAGAGACATGACCTCCGCGCCTCAGCGGTCCGGGAGGAACATCGCCACCTCCGCACCGCGCCGACCGTTGGAGAACGGACGCAAGCCTATCGGCCGCAATCCTCGTGACTCAGCCTACCGGCTATCGTCACGTCTCCTCCGGTCACGTCCGCCCCGCGCACGTCCCTATCACGATCCCTTTCGGATCTCCTGCGATCATCTCGCCTTCTATCCCGCTCCCGATCGAGTGAATCATCATCACGACGATCACGAGCATCGTCCCTCCTCCTGTCGCGATCATCCTCGCGCCGCGGACGATATCTGCGCCTCCTCGACTCTCTGGAATCCCTGGTGTCCACGGTCCTAACGGACCTCCGAGAAGGAGTACGGGAAACATCCGACTCCCTACGCCTCCTCCCAGATTGAGAGTTCGTCACAATCTGGTTGAGAGCTTCCAGTGCCGACGCGTCCTCACCATTTCTGATGAAATCCCTAACCTGCTTGTTCAGCACTCTGTTGGTGGAGATCGTCAAGAAAGCGTCCACCACCGAACTCTCAGGCAGCACCAGGAAGTGACCCTCCACCGGGCTCGCCGCAGCCCGCTCAGCAGACTGCAGCCGGATCTCCCCGCCTTCAGGCTTCTTTGCCATCGCCTTGGAGGCAGTCAAAGGCGCTACCGCATCCTTTGCCGAAGATCTGCCAAGCGCGGAGTGAAGATCATCCCCGCTAGCTTCTCTCGCTGCCGCACCTGGTCTGCTGTCGACATCGCCAGGCCTCGTGGATGCCTCCCGCTTTGTCGACTCCTTCGCAGCCTCGTCGGGATCCCAACGGGACTTCCTTTCTCTCTTCTGCCCTTCGGCCGACCCGCGGCTACCGCCGGGAGCGTCACCCCCGCCTGTCTTCTCCTTCTTGACCTCAACCTTCGGTTCGGCCTGCTTCGTCTCCTTAGCCACAGCTTTTGGAGCCGGAGCACTCCTCGCCTCAGATGCCGAAGCAGCCTTCCCTTTCGGCTCTGCCTTGGGAACCGGGGTCACTTTAGCCTTGGCACTCGGCCTGGCCCCTTCAACCACCATCTCGGCCCAAGACTTCTTCGGCTGAGCTGCTGCTGCATCAACCTCCATCGGAGCAGGTCCAGCGTCATCCTTCGCCTTTGGGACGGATGGGCTACCGCCCTTACCGGACCTTTACCCGGCACTTCACCTGACTTTGGTGGCGGGCCGGAAGGGCTACCGCCCTTACCGCCCTTTTCCCCCTTCTTCCCTTTTCCTTTTCCGCCCTTGGGGACCGGTTCCTGCTTGGGACCAGGACTCGGCGCAGCATGATGCACTGATTGGAGTCCCTCGATGTCCACGTTCAATGGTTCGGGTTGACGACCGTCAAGAACCGTCCTCACCCTTTCGTCGCTAACGTAGACGAATGGGTCACGGAATGGTGCGGGAGGCTCTGACTGTCCGGCATTGATCGCCTTCTGCACCTTGGCTATCGCCTCCTTCAACCTCTTCTTCTCATCATACCCTGTCTCCGATACCATGTACCCCCTGAGCTGCGACATCAACGCATGACTCTCCAGGATGTCCACGTCCTTTCGATGGGTCGGGTACAATGGGGTCAGATGACCAGCCGCAGAACCAATCACGTATGCCATCGGAATATAGAATGACAAGTACGTGTCATGACGAGCGAACTTCCTAACGGAAGTCGTCATACGCCTACCCCACTGCGCAGCGTGTCTTGGATTGGCTCGGAAATACTCCGTGACCGACTCAAATCTATCGACTTGGTTGGTCTTGATCAGGTGCTTCGCCACCCACTTCTCCACAAACGCATCCGAGGCCGAAATCCCGGACACATAGGAGAATTGGAAGAGCACCTTCGCCAGCTCATCCCACGCCGCATCGACACCTCCCTTGTCTTCACCAAGATAAGGGGGAAGTCTGATGCCGCTCTGCACCGTCATCCTTAGATCGGATGCCATCGAATAGGAAATCAAGTTCCTCTTGATGACTCCGACCACTTCGGAGGGAATCCTCCTGGGCTTGAACTGCCCCATGGTCCTCACCCACTCCGGCACGATGTGGCACGTTTCGAAGTCCTTTTCCTCCGCGTTGGGGATAAAGTTCGGGTAAAAGACCGGAGCGCGCACCCGGGACACAAGTGCATCCCATTCGGCATCAATTCCGCGCACCTCAAGCAGAACGTGACAGTCACATTCAGCCTGACCTCTTCCCGTGATCGCTTGTGCTCTCCCCTAACGGGGGTGAAGTCGCCGTAGTCCCATGCCCGATGGTACACTATCGTGTAATCATCGTACATATACGCCGCCTTCCAAGCCCCCATGTGGATCTCGTTCCTAACGGCAAGAGTCTTCCTTCTCGTCAAAAACACGGGTCCAACCAAGGACCAGTGCACCCGAAGATCCACCATTACCACCACGTACCTACCGGAGTAGTTCCGCAGCCTGTCCCTGACATACCACGAAGGCGATACCTCAGCATCCGGCGCCATGGCTCCCACAAGTGGGATCAGGCCCTCATCCTGCCTACCATCCCCAATGGTCTCGTACACATCGGGCCTCGTGATCAATATCTCGATCATGGCCTTTCCATTTCGCCTCACCCTTTGGAGCTGAACCGCCTTCCGAAAGTCCGAGAACTTCATGATGACGTATCCCACCATGGGGAGTTCATTCCAATGCATCTCATACATCAGAGATCCGCCAGGTGCATCTTCCTGAGTATACCTGTGCCTAACGGCACTGTAACTCAAGTCGCGTCCGATCCGCGTGTGCCTAACGGCAACCAACCTGGTGCTCTCCTTGAGGAGAACGCCATCCCCGTCGTACATGACCATGAGCATCGCCTCCACTTGCCCTATCGGGAAAGCTTTAAGCGTCGGAATGAAGAACTTCCAAGACATCTCAGCGTTCTCCATGCCCGAAATCTCCTTCAGGAACCAGATGGCCTGGTCACTTTTCACCCAGTTTCCAGCCTCGCGTCCGGTCTCCTTCAGCACACGTTCCTCGAATAACTCCGAGACTCTCTTTGAATTGATGACCAAGCCGTCGAAATCGCACGAGAGCAGTCTCATCAACTCCTTCGCCGCCTCCCGTCCTGCAACAGTGCCCACGGTCTCTTCGTAGTTCGGGAGGTATTCACCCAACCTCGTCTTCGAGGGAACCACAATCTGGCAAGTGACGGCCTCATCAGGGATAACTCCCGTTTCCCTTAGCTCCGGATTGATCTCTCGCCTATCGGCAAGATAATCCTCCTTCCCATCCAGTATCACAAGATTGTAGGTCATCTTGCTCGCCGCCCCACTAGGCCTGAA